ACCCTTATAAGCAAAAGAAACACTAGCAATCATATCTCAGTCAACTGAGAGCCCCTCTTCCATGAACTGTGTTGGTTTCATTCCTTAGTCCCTTTCACTCTTACCGTAAAGCCCCTAGAAAGCAGGCCCTATCCTTGGTCCTGTTAGTGCTCCCCCTTAGAAGAAATTGAAACTTACTTAGTAAGAGGTTAAATAACTCCAGACGTGGTCATTGAGAATGAGGCAAGCACTTGAATGCTGGTCTGTCAGATGTGTGGTTCTTAATTACTAAACAATATGGCGTGGGTTAATCTACCAGTGAGTAAAGGAACGAGTGAATGAATAAATAAATGATGTTCTGATGTCGTTCTCTATCCACGCCTTTCTTATCAACATTCTCAGCAACAATCCCTGATTTATAAGAAGCCTAACTCCCCTCATAGGTTAAAGGAAACAAAAATAGCACTGTACAAGTCCTATTTAAGGGAGGAAGAAGGAAAATCGACATGAAGGAAAGGAGTCTTTGCAAACTCCCAGATTTGGAGCTGAAGCCAATTTGTTAGTTTGTAAATGCAAGTGCTGTCTCTGCTTTCCACTACTCTCTTTTATGCCTTTAAAATTCAAACAGGAGGCTTAACATCTGTTCAGTGTATTAGAAAATCAGGAGGGCTACAAACACCAAACTCAAGACATACTGGATCTTGCTGAATGTTTCTGGTTGCTAGGCAACAAGTCTTCCTGATTTCCAGGTATCCTGGCTAAGTCACCTGTGCTTGGCTATGAGAAGTGTTGAACTGAACATCTAGACTACAACAAGTGTTGAAAGCAAAACATAGAAGATGGTGTTGAATTTTGTACAGGTTTTCTGAAGCTAGGTCTTAGGGCAGGGCAATTGCAAAAGCTGGGGTAACACAGAGTTGTTCTAGAATCACGTTGCTCATTTGGTTAAGCTCGGTGACTTTAAAAAAAAAAAAAACCAGAATTGCCGGGTAGTTAAAGCTTTCTAAAAAACCAACAAACACACTGACGTCTCAATCGCAATGGTCTTGCTTGCCCTCTTCCCAGGATTTCACTTGTAGTGTAGTGCTCATTCAAGGAACTCCACATATATCTAGTTCCATCCCCATCTCAGTTCTAGAAGGGAAATGTTTTGAGCATTTTTACAGCTAAAGCATCTGGGATCCCATGGGTAAAATTCCTTTCTGGAATTCATTCTTGGGTGCCACAGACTTTCAGAGGTGCCACAGATCAAACACGCTTTCTACCACAGGCTCTTACACCTCAGGCCAAGCCCTAGAAATACATGTTTCCTTTTTCTGAAGCCTACTGGAGCCTGACTGTCCTAACCAGGCACTTGTGCCTTTTACTGAGCTGACTTGTCTAGATCCCTCCCAGCCAGGGCCATGTGGTCTTCAAGAGTCTGAAGGAATGCAGTTAACCCTGAATACCACACCAAGGCAGGAGGAAACCCAGGAAAGGATGCCTGGGCACCCTCAAGCTGTGGAGTCAGCAAAGCACAGCTCCAGCTCATGCACAGAGTGAGCAATGCTTTCTTGAGTCCTGGGAACATTTCCTTTAGAACTTCCCTGGAGTGCTTCTCCCACCCTAACACAGTCCTTGAACTCCTCACATCCAAGCTGGGAGAGGACCCAGAGTAGTGTGGGACACTGAGGGCATGCTTCTCAGGCACCTGCTTCCAAACCATCATAGTCCTGAGTTACAGAACTGTATGTCAGCTAGAGGAAATCAGAGGCCTGAAGATGTGGCTGTTATCAGTGGCTTCCCTTGGCAGTGTGTGTGTGTGTGTGTGTGTGTGTGTGTGTGTAGATTCATCTCCACAGAACTGACTGAAGCAGGAAACAAAGCTTGGAGGGTTTCAGCTAATTTTATTTTACTATTACTTCCCGTTGTAATGTCAATATTATAATTCAGGCTCCTGGCTTAAGGTCTGGCCCTTCTAATGCTTCCTCAGTCACACCCATCATGTGATCATTCTTCTTTCTGACCCACATTTAATAGGCATTGGTGGCCTGCTTGTGTGTGAGCAGCTGGAGACGCACTAAAGAACTGGATGGACATGGGTCCTATCCTCATGGAGATGCTGTCAATTCCCCATCAAAGTATAAAAACTCAGGATACAGGAGGCATTTTGGGTTAGTTTTATTCGGGGCTTAGAAACTTTGTCCATTCAGAGAGGCTTTTTCCTCGGGGGTCTTAGTCCCCCCAAAGAACAAGAGAATAAATGAGTCTTTGGACAGTGCAGAATGTTCACCTAGAACTCAAGGGATCCAGATGTCATCACTGTCATCTCTGATCGGCCAGAAGAAAAAAAAAAGGTGAAATAAACTTTTCTGTAATATTCTCCATTTACTGGAAATTTTCTGTCAGACTTAGTTGTAGGTAGGAAGCACTGACTCAGCATACTTGTGCTCTATTTGAGTCAACTGTCTGTCTAAACTTATTTCTCTATCTGTAAAATGAGAAGTGTGGATTCTGTGTAGTTATGGGAACTTGGGAAAAGCGATTGCACACTCTCACACTCTCAGGAGACACCAAGCACTCCGACTCCTTCATTCCAAGTGGCACTGGGTGGTCTGGGTGTTTGGGACATGCAACAGGCAGGCAGGAAGGTTGCTCTTCTAGCATTTAGTCCAGTGGAGAAATGCTAGGAATGACAGGTGACATTTACGACACACATATGGCACCAGGTGTTGGGACGCATGCTGTTTTCTTAAGAAGCCCAGAGCAGCTGAATCCATTCCCTTCACCTTACAGAAGGGAACCTAAAACCCAAAGACACCCAATCATGTGCCCAAGGCCACTCACATGATAAACATCAGAGTCAGTTCAGGACAACCCCAGCCACGGTTGCCTCAATCACAGTGCAAAGGTCGTTTGTATGCAACCTGGAGTTTTCCTGTTTAGCTTGCGTTCCAGAGCACACATGTGACCCGGAGTAGCAAAGGGTAGAAAAGGGACACAGGCTTACAGCTCTAGCAGGTTTGGAATGAGATGCAGAATCTACATTTGGTCTTTAGAATTTGTTACACTTTACACAGGTACACACTGAATTTGGAAAAGGGGGTATTGCATGAACTTTGATGGTAGATCCATGAACAAACATCTCCTCACTCCAGATAGAGCACCAGCAACAAACTAAAGAAATGATTCTACCAGTTTGACGGACCAGTGAATATATTGGGCTTACTTACAGGAGCATACATGGCGAGTTGTTAGTTACTTCCAGGACTGTGAGAAGCCCCATCCCAAGACAACCACATCACTAAAATGTCTCACTGGACTAATGATGGTACCTTTCCCATAGTGGCAGTTAACCACCTACATTCACTAGGCTAGTGCCTCACCTCCCAAGGTAGCTGGAACAAGAATTACTAACAGCTACAGGAAAGTACAGGAGAAAATGGCTGGAATCTCAGGGGATACCCTCCTAGGAGGGAACGTCAACACACCCACCACTGAGGGTGTCTCAAGGGTAGTCACAACTGCTTGAATTAAGATAACTATGACTGCTGTGCTCAGAGAACAGTGTTCCACATAGGGTAAGTGGCTCTTAACAGGAACAGAACTAGGTGATCTTAAACAACGCTCTGTGTCCTTGTACAATCAGGATAAGGTGGTTGACATGAGGTCTGCACAGCACCCCAGTGATCGGCGTGTGATGATGACGCAAACATGTCAGAGTTGCACTTTGCTTTAGGTTTTCATCCTACACAGGCAGACACTCAGAGTAACTGCATTTCATCCCTCCAGGTCCATCCTTTGCCATCCTATGTGGGCAGACACTCAGAACAACTGCATTTCATCCCTCTAGGTCCATCCTTTGCCATCCTATGTGGGCAGACACTCAGTGTAACTGCATTTCATTCCTCAAGTTTCTGAAGTCAAGCTGCTGTCAGTTATCATCAGAGCAGTTCTGTGAGGTTGGTCCTCAAGGATCCCTAATGGGCGTACAGTATAAGAGAAGTAATATCGCAGCTGAGAACAGAAGCTGAGCATACCTAGTCCCTGAGTCTCTCCCACTCCTTAAAGATGCTGTCCAAAAGCTCTAGAAGTCAAACAAACAAGAGCTGCAAGCTATCTCGTCCACAGATCCACATCCAGTTGTGGTTAAGATACATGGGACTATACTTCTGCTCAGCTGCCCACCTCTATCACACTTCCTGCTGTTCCAAGGCTCTTAGTAGGACCCGACTCAGCCACCCAGTAAACATGCCATGATGCCTTCAGCCACCCAGTAAACATGCTGTGATACCTTCACTCAAAGCTATCACTAGATGGTACCACTTAATAAAATAGGGATGCTGGGTACTCTGAGGATGACTGCGGATATAGCCCTGCAGCCCTTCTGAGAAAGCCTGTATGGAAGTACACAAATCAAACCCCAGAATGTACAAGGGTCTCATCATGACCCTGTGAGTGAAGCATGTGTCTGAATTGTTTCATTAAATTCTGCTTATGTTTTAAAAGAAAAACAAAATTTTTCATCATATGTGAAATCTTGAATTATTCTGATTAAGCTTAAGGTCTCTCCCTACACCATTTTTTCTATTGTCCATGAGAAATGTGGGGTATTTCCAAAAATATCTACTAGCCAGAAAACCTTGATATTGATTTGATTTTCCAAAGAAACGATTCACGGCATTGGTTAAGTTGCCTCTCCCTTCCAGGAGTCACAGAATCGGACACAGCAGCAAGCAGTTGCGGGAGGGGGGGGGGCTCCCCCTTTCTTCACTGCTCTTGCTCATGGTTTACAGTCTGCTTCCACCTTCCCTCGTTTATTCTGTCAGCAAGCATTCCTTCAAAGCTACCACTGCTTCAGTCTTGTGCTAACCCTAAACAACAGTCCTTCCCTCAGAGGTGCACACAGGCAGACAGACCCCAAGGTGCTCATAGGAAAACAGACCCCAAGACAGGTATATTACAAGTGCTCCGTAGGCTTCAGAGGGTACACAGTGAGTCATGGGGGAGAGGAAAAGCCACTCTTCCCTAAGCACCCAGGGAAATTTCTTTGACCTAGGTCTTGTAGGACCTGTGAGCACGTGTCCAGTCAAAACAGGGGAGGACACGTGGGAGGAGGGCAGAGCAAGCATACGATACAGGCAGAAGAGGCACCGTGTGGGGAGTAGACACGAGACAGGGCTGTGAGAGGAGGCAGCCCAGCCATGTACCAGGGACACGGAGCTGTTGCCACAGAGATGTTCTGGGGGTCAAATAGCTTGTAATTGCTGGACTGTGGCCAGGCTGTTTTACTCCAGTGTGAGCTTCACCACAACGATGACAGGATCGAGAATTTCTAGAACATCTACCGTGTGCCAAGGCTTGGCACAGCATCTGCCCCAGGCTGGGCCTCTGAGAAGCTGATGGGAGCCTGACCTTGGGACGAACAGCGGAAGTGCTCCTCTGTCTAGAAGAAGCATGGCCAGCGTTCTGAAGCTCTGAGTCCCTCAATGAGAAGGCTTGTGTCGCCCTGGTGGCTAGAGAGCCCAGAAGAGAAAGCAAACACTGAGCCCCTTTAGAGGTAAATTACAGAGGGTTCTGAAGGCGCTAGCCTACTTTCCAGTGTGAGGGCTTCAAAGAGAGGAAGAATTTCGGACTGATTTGAATAGCAGCTTGTGCTCCCCAGAGCTCTGTGCTGTGCTAAGCAAAGTGGCTGATTGTTGCCTCGTGTTTTTCAGAAACAGCTGTCTGTCTCCTTTTAGAGCTCTATTCTAGGGGGATTGCAAGAACCATGGGAGAGTTTAACTCTTAACAACTCGGCTTGGTTCATTAGGATAGGAGACATATAAAGAACTGATATTACTCCACCTGTCTGTCTGTTGGCCTGTCTGCCTCCCTGTCTGCCTTCCTGCATGTGTGCACGAATGTCTGCCTGTCTGCTTGTCTGTCTTCCTATCTCTCAGCCTGCCTGTCTATCTGCCTGTCTGCCTAGCTATAGGGCTGCCTGCCCATATGCATGTCAGGCTGTAGGCCAGCCTGAATGTCTCGGCACGCTGATGGTTGAGACAGATACTAAAAGCTCTGCCCCCGTGGATCCACACAGAAGTTCCGTGGTTGTTGCTCCCCTAACGTCCAAGTTCTTAGCACTGTGATGGATGTCCCGGGTGTGCCTGAGCAGTAATGATTCAGCACCTATTTCAAGGAGGGACAGGTTAGGACTGCTATCTGGACTGCTTTCCTGTCAACTGCATATTAACATAAATCTTAAAGCCATACTGTGCTGCTCTGGGTAGATTTATTGACAAACCCAGTTGAGACCTGCCTTCTTCTCCATGGGTGATATTTATTAAATGCTAGGTGCTTCTGGCATATTTAGATGTCATGTGTGTTTAGTTGATGGAATGTGATCTCTGTCACCACCAGCTCATGGTACACAATTAACAAAGAGCTGTTGGCTTCGTGAGCTTCCCTTTCACAGTATGTGACAGCTGAACAGAGCAGACCAAGACCTCAGAAACAGAGGGTCCATTTTTTAGGATCTTGGTGACCTGTGACCCTGATTGTCACTGGAATAAGCAGCCAGGTAGCCTCTCTTTCCCTGTATCGTCAATCCTTTCCCTGGTTGAGGGGAGGGAGGTGTCCTTACCATCAGCCATTCCCACCTGAGTACACAAGCCCCATTTAGCAAAGCCAACAATTTGTCAAACAGTCAGTGGTTCTTCTGGATTGGCAGTGGGCGGCTTCATCCCAGTGTACCAGTCAGGCTTCCCTAGAGGAACAGAACCAATGTATTAATGTGGGGGAGGGGTAGTAGACTGGCTTACACAGCATGGTCTGAGCAGTCCAACAAGGGCTATCTTCACACTAGAGAGGCTGAGGACCTGGTAACTCAATCCATGAGGTGAGCTGCCTCAGTCATAGTCCCAATCTCGTGCTGAAGACTCGAGAATTCCTAGAGTCACTCATCTCTGGTCCACATTTGGAAGCCAGAGAAACTCAATTCTGTCATCAGTGATTGGTGGCAGCATCAATGTAATGGGGTAGATGGGGTAGATGAACTCATGAACAAGACCCAAAGACAAGCAAACAAAAAACCGAAGCTTTTCCCTCTAAAAGGCACAACCCACATTCAGGGAGGATCTTCCTATTTTGATTAACCTAACCAAAAGAATCCCTCACAGGCATGTCAAGAGGCTAGCCTGATCTAGAGAATCCTCATGGGTATTCCCAGAGATGTCTCTCAGAGGTGACTCTGGATCCTGTCAAGTTGACAATTAATATTAGCCATCCTGCAGGTACATCCCATATGCTCTAGCAGAGTTCCTGGACTCTCTTCCCTTTGGTATTTCTGAGTTCTCAGTGTCAAAGGTTTCCACAGCACTGACACCATCAAAGCTTGGTCAGTGACTCTCCATGTTGGAGATCTGCCTGAGGGTGACTCTGTATATGTCAGGGACTTGCTAAGTATCCACATGTTGTCTGTCACAATCCTAGGCTTTAGTTTTCACTTTGCCACTGGAATTACAAAAATGAAGGAATAAGACATTCATTAATTCCAGTAAATTAGAATAGTGGATGCATGTGGTAATGCTTTTAAAAGTTGAAGTATTTTATTATATATATTATGAAGAAAAAAGTTATTGAAAAAAAACCAACAAAATGACCTTGTGAGTTAAAAACCATGTCCTCTCCACTTTGATTACTGAGAAACTGAGTTTCAAAGGAGGCAGCGCTCCTGTGAGTACAGAGCTGGTTAGAGGCACAGCCGGACCTAGAACCGACACTCCTTACCACCACAATGCCTTGGAATAACTTGGGGTCAGAGGGTTCCCACGCACTTGCACAGTGGTGACTTTGAAGGTGCTCGAACACCTTGAGCCCGGTGGCATCTGACCCGAGGCCAGAATGTGAAGCCCCTTTAGGAACATCACTTCTTCCAGAACATGGTTCACTTGAGAAAAAGGGTCTGAACATAACATAGTCAGCTTTTCCCTCCAGGCACTGCTTTATAAAACATAAAGCATTGTTTAGGGATAATAAATCAAATGATCACCTTGTGATCATCAGGCTTGTGTTGGTGTTTTATTTGGGCAAATTTTAATAACATTAAAAAAGCACTAGCTATTGAAGTTTCACCATGTCCAAGCTAACAAAAAGACAGACCTACATTAAAGATGTGTGTGTGTGTGTGTGTGTGTGTGTGTGTGTGTGTGTGTGTGTGTGTGTGTGTATTTATGAAATACAGATCTCAACATCAAGAGACTTCTGGGTATAAATGGGAAACCAAAGAGAAGAAAGCTAATGCTCTCATACTGTGGTGTTCTGCTTCATTTGTCCTTTGGTCCATGTTTATCAGGATCTTTGAGGGCCACCTTTCCTCAGGAACCAGGCCTCCAGCACTGCCTGGCCATACTGCTGAAACTATTTCTGATGCCCTCAGGTCCCCCAGAACTTTTCTTGTGCCATTTAAATATGTGTCCCTCAAGCTGACATTGCTGCAAGGTTCTCTTGTTCCTCCAAATAGTGATAAAGCTAAGTGCAGACATAAGTCAGTGTCTCTACCTCAGTATCCACATCCAAAGTCCAAAGTGTCCCCACGTCCACCCCTCACCCCAAGAGAAGTGGACAGCTGCAGCCCAGCACTCCCTCTGCTCACGTCAAATGAAATTAATTTTACACCTGGCGTTAAAACAGCAGAGAATCATCTTCTGGTCAACACAGTAATGTGTTTTGTGGCCCCTTAGAACTTACGAAGCCCACATTATCAGCTTATTCAGTGAGCATTTGTTGAACACCTACTGCATGGCCAGCAATCTATTATAAGATGAGTCTACAGGACACAAAGGTGTATGACAGCCTCAAGGTCACCTGCAACCCAAGCAGGTTACTGATGGGTACTTAGCTCAGGAAACAAAAGGAGGGCCAGAATCAGTTTGTCGGTTCTGATGTCTTTGTCTCGGTGGCTTCTGAAAATTTAAATTGAGGAGAGCTGTGGAAGCCTGGCCTCTGAACATGACATGGCAGATGCACACATAACTCAAAGCTCCTGTGGTTGCCTCTACAAACAAGATCAAGCCAGTTAGAAACCCCAGCATAGAGGAGGGAGGAGATTCGGATACCCTACCCCTAGCTGAGAAGCTAACAGCAGCTGATGGATGCTGAGGCAATGAGTCACTCTTCTTCGCATGGAGGTGGCCACCAGTATGTTACCCATGCTCCACAGGATGACCCCACACATGTGCATATGGGAAGCACTTACTGGAGTTGGTGGACTACAAAAAACAAAACAAAACAAAACAGAAGACATGAAGTTGGGAGACTCTGCCTCAACCAATGTGTTAGAGAGGGACAGAGGGAGACTCAATGTCAAACACACACATGTGCAAACATGCATATATGCATACATACACACATATATGTACACACACAGAGAATGACCAAGTGCATGAGATTTTATCCATCTCTGCTTCTGTCTAATTTTTTCCTTGAGGAAATCACCTTTTAATCTCCAAGTTAGGTAGAGTAGGATCATTTCCTCCACCTGACCCTAGAAACAGAAGATCAGAGTGAAAGCCCATGATGGCACTGGATGATTTTGTCCTCAAGGCAAATCAGTTATCTTTGGGGGCCCTGTTTTCTAGGTGTGAGATCAGAGGCATTGAAGATTAGCTGAGTTTTGAACTGGATGATAGTGTACCACTGCTTACAACTACGTGCTAAATTGAGATGTGAGGACTGAGAACATTTTCCGGGTTCTGTGTGCTGTGCCATGCTTTCTAAGGGACTCTGTAAGGTGCTGCAGTGTACTACAGGCCCATATTCCCCTCTGTGCCCTCACCTACATATCAGCTGACACCATAGAAACATGTCTCCTCTGTCTCAATAAACTCAGATTCGAGCATTTGAGGTCCCGGGTATAACAGGAGCAATTCCCTCATGAAACCAGATAAATCTCCAAGTGTTGGAAGGTGGGATTTAATGAGAATGAGGGCCATCTGGAGACAGTGATGGGTCACTAGGCTGAGAGACCCTCGTGGTCTCCAGGCCTGCCCTGTGATGATTTCCTGAACATTAGCACCCAGCCTGGATTAGATGGTTCTCTCTGGATTAGGAGCACAGCACTTTAGAGCTTAGCTGCCTCTTGCGTTACTCGTTCCCCGACAGTTCCTGAGACTCAGTCCTTCCTCGGCCCTGGGAAGGCAGGAATTTCTGAAGCAGGCTGGTCATGGACTAGCTAGCTAGTCCTGTGCCGTGAGGCAGTTGCAGGAACGGTGGACATTCTTGGTAACTCAGTTTCAGTATTCGTTTCAGCATGTGGGGACACCACATTCGACCTTTATCTCCAGGGACTAGGCAAGCAGGAGCTTTTTGCATAACACTTAGGTGGCAGCTGGCCCCGCTGGGGATGACAGCCATTTTGAAATGATCAGAGGGCAGTGTGCAGGGCTCTGCTCCACTGTGTTCCCTCCCTCCCCGGATTAGATGTCCTTTCTTTTCAGAGTTTTTGTCTCCTTACAAAACTTGACTCTGAGATGCTTATGAGTTTTAAGTGAATGAGTTCACGGTGCTTATATTTCTTCTGGTTTGACATTAAAGTCGTGATTGCGAATTAGAGACAGGCAGCATATTCATGGGCTCCTCTTATTTCCAAATCCAAATATTTCATTCCCCACAACACACACACACACACACACACACACACACACACACACACACATACACACACACACACTTTTAAAAAGAAATTGTCGAGTTGGAAAGACAGCTCAGAGGTAGAGGTGCTTTTCCTGGGAAGACCGAGGGGCTGAACTGGCTCCCCAGGACCAACATGGTGAAAGGGAACCAGCCCCCAAATGCTGCTCTCCGACCTCTGCATCACGTCATTCCTGTGCACCCATACAAACATAAACACATCATATTCACATATGTAATAATAGTAATAAATTAAATAAACTTTTAATTAGAAAAGGAAATAAAAAAGTAATTTTCATATAGTAAATTAGGTTTATAAATATATTCACTGATTTATTCCTTTTGGCATTTGGTCCACAAATTTTAGCACACATATGAACATATGAATACAATATAGCCCAAATACAGAGTCCCCTGAAGCCCACTAATATCCATTTTTGTTATGGAATCTCCCCCTGCCCTCTACTCATGCCTTTTCCAGAATGCCACATAAAAGAATCCCAGTGGTTACCTGTAATCTTGTCACTGTGGCTCATTCTGATGAGCGTGATTAACTTGCCTTCACTCATAGTGAAGGATCAGGGTTGGCTTTTTACTGCTGAAGAGCACCACACAATAGTGACCCATCCACGCTTGCACTTGGGTGGGTTTACCTTCTGGTAATAAAACAATCTTCTATAGTCACCCGTGTTTACACTCACTAAGTGTGTGCTTAGTTCTGAAAGAAACTGCTCTACAGTGCTATTTTACAGTCCTGTCTGATGGTACAGGCTGTCTCACTCACCCTGACGTTTTCCATTTCACCTAAACTAGACGGCCACCAGCCCCTGGGACTTGCTTGTCTCTGTCCCAGTCGCTGGGACCGACGCGGCTCGCCACTACAGCCTGCGTCTTGCGTGGGCGTGAGAGAACTAAACTCGGTTCCTCACATTTGCACAGCAAGCACGTTACCTACCAAGGCATCTCTCCAGCCCCTCCTTCTGGGTTTAACTCACATTTCCCACGTAGTTAATGAACTGATTGTATTTTCTGTGCTAATTCTGCATCGCTGATGAAAAAGGACTTGCATGTTTTACAAATCAAATTGTTCATGTTCTTCGTTTGAACTTTTTCTTACGTTTGAGTCTTTTACATACTCTGGATTTGAATCCTTTGCTGCTTGTGAATCACAAATATTTTCCCTCCATTTCTAGCTTGTATTTTCCTTCTCATATGAACTATAAATTATAAATGTTGGCGTCATGTCTAGGAACTCTACCTAATCCCTGTGTTTTTTTTCCTAAAAGTTTCAACCCATTATCTATTCTAGTCACTTGTATAATGGAGAATGAGGCTAAATTCGAGTTCTTCATTTGCATGTAATTGTTTCAACACCTTTGTTGAAAGAAAAACATCCTTTCTTCATGGAATTTTCTTTGTACTTTTGTAAAAAGAAATCAGTTGGTCATTGTTAGAAAATGCCCCCCCCCCCCCAGGCTCACATGTTGAAGGTTGAGTTAATCTATGAGTGAGTTCATAGCCAAGAGGGCTTTCAGAATGGGCTTAGTTGGAGGAAGTGTGTCCCTGGAATTGCGCCTTTGAAGGGTGGACTTGTCACTAGATCCTTCCCTCTCACTGTCTTTGCTTCCTGGAAGGTGTGCTGCGCTGCTTTCCTCCTCCCTTGCCTCCTCCGTACCTTTCCTCCGGGTCATGCCTTAGGCCCGCAGCGGTGGAGTCAAGCACGGCTTGAAACTGTGAGTCAATATCAGCCTTGCCTCTTTTAAACTGCTTTTCTCAGGGACATTGACACAGATCCAAAAAGCTGACTAGCCTGACTACCCTGCCCCTTTGTGTGGACGAGACTCTGAACTCGGTTTAACTCCTTCGATCTGTGTGTCTGTTCCTCATCAATGTCATACTCTTCCTCATCAATGTCATACAGGCTCAATCACTCAGCCTTCATAGTAAGACTTAGAACAGAATGGCATTCCTCTGATTTATTACTACTTCAAAACTGTTTCGGATCTCCTAATTCCTTTGGCGTTACACATCGCATTCAGAGCTGGGTTGTCTGTATTTAAAGCATCCTGCCAGAATTCTGAAGGTGACTGCCCTACATTTGCATATCAGTTTAGGGATAATCAACATCTTTACTGTATTGAGTATCAGCTTACGAATTCTCTTATTTCATTTCTCAGTGTTTTGTGTTTTTCACCACATAAATAGGTACATATTATTTTGAAGATTATTTTTAGCTATGAAGTGCTCAGGGTTTTTTCCTGTGTTGTTGTGAGTAGATGTGTTGGCTTGAATACTATTATGGCCAGGAAACATACTTTGTATTATTTCAGGTGTTTTTCAACTTGGTCCAGAATGTGGGCCATCTGGAAGTATTTGCCACATATGCTTCAGAAGGAACACTTCCTGTGCAGGGACAGGGCAGGACACTGCAAATGCCACTCAGACCATGCTGGTGTGTGGTCTTGCTTAGGACCTCCGATCCTTACTAATTTCTCACCTACGGTTTCTATGGATTGTTGATAGGGAAATTGTGGGACCTCCAACTATAACTAGGAATTTCTTTTTTATTATACTTACTCGTATGTGTGTCTCAGTGTATAATTGCACATACACCTGGTGTGAGCGTGGAGGTCAGAAGACAATTTGAGGGAGTCAGTTCTCTCCTTCCACAATGTGGGACCCAGAGAACGCAAGCTCAGGTCCTCAGTCTTGGCAACAGCCAGCCATTCCGTGGAGACATCTCACCAGCCCTGAATTTGTCTATATCATGTCTAAGCAACAGCAGGTTTGTATATTGTGAAACTTGTTATGTGCATACACATTGTGAACTATTACGTTTTTTAGTGAATTGACCCTTTATCATGAAATGAACCATTCCCTAGCCCTGATAATTGATGCTTTCAGACATTAATGCAGCCACCCCAACGCTCTCTAGATCAGGGTTTGCATGACAAAGCATTTCCACCCTTTGCTTTTACCTAGTTGCATCATTTTGTGTGAAGTTTCTTTTTCCTGTTCTTATTAAATTTGTTTTTTAGATGTGTGTGTGTGTGTGTGTGTGTGTGAGAGAGAGAGAGAGAGAGAGAGAGAGAGAGAGAGAGAGAGAGAGAGAGAGTGTGTGTGTGTGAGAGAGAGAGAGAGAGAGAGAGAGAGAGAGAGAGAGAGAGAGAGAGAGAGAGAGAGAGAGAGAAAGAGAGGGAGGGAGGGAGGGAGGTCAGTAGACAACTTGAGGGAGTTATTTCTCTCCTTCCAGTCACGTAAATCAGACTCTGACTTGATGACAGGCACCTTTTCCCACTGAGCTATCTCTCTGGCCCTTAAAGTAAGTTTCTGGTAGAAACCTTATAATTGACTCCTTTTTTTCAAATCCATTCTGGTGTTCTCTATATTTTCTTTGATGTACTTAGATCATTTGTACCTAATGTTACTGTGAATTTAGTTCTACCATTTTATTACTTATTTCCCCCAGTTCTCATTCTTTTGGTTATCTTTTCTAGACCACTTTGAGCATTTGAACAGTTTTGATTTTACTTTCTTTTTAGACCAGGTCTTACTGTATGGCTGAGGCTGGCCTCACACTTGCAATCTTCCTGCCTCAGCCTCCCAAGACCTGGGATTACAGATATTTGCTGCTAACCATGTCTGTCTGCTATTTAAATATGTTTAATGCTTAACTTCAGTATCTGTGATTTGCGCTTTTACAGTTGTTTTATTTGTCAATATTGCTGCTGCTGCTGCTGCTGTTACTGTTGTGCATGTCACTGTGCCACAGCACACGTG